TGGGGTCATTTAGTATCCAAAATGCAAATAATGCTATAAAATGCTACAAGCAAGCTGCCATTCCTGCACAATGAAATGAGGTTACATTAAAGTAAGTTTACTATTAAACCAATAGTATATAGCAACCAATGTTATATAGCAACTCCAGCTACTCAAACTGTAGACTACTACCAAAGCAACTTAGCTACCAAATTTCACAAAGCTTGCTGATTAGTGTTTGGTCTTTTGATTAGGTCGGCGGTGTCATGATGTCAATTCAGTGTGCAGCAGTGTAAGCTTGTGCAGAAATCCTCATGTTTAATTTTTATGACCTTGTAACTCAGATGATCCAGCAACTGGAAGATGTCAATACAAGACGTATCAGTTTTAGACTATTTTAGTTGACCACAAGACACAATAGTGGCAATTTCCCAAAATCTCCTTTCATTTTTCTCATAGAGAAAACAAGCTCAGATGTAGAGTTCCTAATATAGGCATGACCTCAACTACAGAATGACTGCACATATTCAGAAATGAAAGGTTATGTCCTGGATGCTGTCATCTTTGCTTCGTTGGGACTTTCCAGCACTAAGATTTGAGCCAATATGGTATATATTTCACATGAATGCCATGTTAAAATGCAGAGAAAGGATGTGTCTACATTGCTGATTGGCTGATTGTGGTTATGATAACAGCCAAGCTTGGGCACAAGAATCATGCTGAGCACTTAGAAGTATTTCTTGCTTTCTGCAGTATAAGTAGCTGTATATACTGTATGTGTTATTATTTTATTTATACTTTTGAGTGTCCAATATATACGTATTTATTAGGTCTATTATTTATTAAGTACTCATTTATTAACTTTAAACTCTTTTACTCCACCCAAAACAAATGATCACTGAAAATGATGCTAGTATAAAAACAAATAATTATGAACTGAAAATTAATTTGGAAGAAAAGCAGTTCTGTCAGAAAAAGGAAATAAAAATCTATAGAGATACATGCTTTTGGCCCAGACAGTATTTGGCCACTAGCTGAGTCCACTTGGCCCAGGCAAACCACCATATTCAATATCACCATATGTCTAATCATAATAGCACTGCTGACCAGTAACTAGTGGGTGGTGCACCATTTTTAGCAGAGCAGTGACACCAACATGGTGGTGGCTTATAATATGTGCTGGTATGAGTGTCAGGCAGAGCAGTGTTGCAGGGTTTTTTACCTCAATGTCACTACTGGGTTGAGAACAGACCTCCAGTCTAAAATATTCAAGCAACAGTGCTTAACAGTGGACAGAAACTGACCACTTCTGAATGGTTAGAGGATTTGTGTATGTTAAACGATGAGTTATCATCTCTAAATGGACACCTACAAATTCATATCAACAAACTAAGCATTTCTAATATAGAGGCCAGTAAGTATACTCTGTGTTTAAAGCCCAGCAACACTGCTGTGCCTAATGCCCTTGTACCAGCACCACACACTCTACCATGTCCATGTCACTGCAGTGCTGAGAATGATCCACCACCCAAGGAGTCTCTTGTCAGTGGTGGTCCGATGGTGGTCCCTTTTCACTGATGGATAGGGTAGAGAGCTGCAGATAAATTGTGCAGCAACAGATGGGCTACAGTCAGTAATTGTAAACCTAGAGCATGTAATATCTGTCTGAACCCAATGGGACCTGACTGCTACACAGTGTTCGGCTGGTTTCAGATATCATTTTCCAAATGTATGTTGGGTTTGGGTCAGGTTCTGATTTCACTTTCAGGTTCTCTCAGCACACTGTGTATGCACTTTTAACAGATTTTACACTTTATCCCTCCTGCTTTAGTTTTTTCTGCTTTAACCCCCGATTTAGTTTTCTCCTTACTTTATCTTTCCTTTCTATTTTCATTAACTTAAAATTTAACTCACGCATGCAGAATTTAGCACCGAGGTCTAGCAAATTGATTTAGGAAAGGACAGATTAGTGCAGCCAATAGAAGGTTTATTTGTTTGTAAATTATTTATATATGTTCAATATTTTATATGTAATATAAGAGGCATTTCAGGACTGCCGGCAGGCTAGTCTAGCACCCACATGTAGCAATGCTGTTGTAACATGTTTAGAATGTGGCTTTGTGATGTCATGTGCAAATAAGATGCATGTTAGTGAATATATATATTCGCTGATGATTCAGATTTAAACCCTACAGAGAATATTGGGTCTCATATTAAATATAAACTAGCTTGGCAATGTTTTAAGGAGTGTATATTCAACGTGTTATTTGTGACATGTTCTATGTAAAGGGAGGATTTAGGATTTTAGGATTAGACAGCAGAGGCTAGCATCCTGCTATATCAGCACTGTACAGCGCAAGAATGTGGGATGTTGTTCAAAAGCCCTGCTTGATGAACACATTTATTAAAGCAGGATATAACCTCAATTTGGACAGCTGATTATTTTATTCTTTATCTTTAATATATTTATTTTATTGGTGATTTAATGATGGTGTGGTAATTTAACTGGCACTGTGCTTTCAGGCTTCATTCAGCACTTTGGGTGAGGATGAGTCAGTTTGGATTTATGATAATTTTGCATGACTCGTGCCAGTTTGAGACACAAAACCTGATGATGTGGTTTAGGTCAGGTCAGGACAGGTTGAGTTTGGAAAGAATTTTATTGGGCTTGGGTCAGGCTTGGACTCAAAATGCAGTGCTGTGTATCTGGCTGGATCTGACTCAAACAAAAAGTTTGGAACAAAACTTTTAGCCTGATTATATAAAGCACCTATATGCTAAATGATTGTGATGAGTAGAGATACAAGGTAGATTTTTTTCAAAAACTGGCAATTCAATGTATAGTTTGAGACAGATACATTTATGGTACACATATGGTTCAACAACTGAAAGCTGATGATGATCTAGGTTGCACAAAAATAAACAGCAAGCCTCTACATGTAGCATACCAAACCTCAAACCTAGTGTATGCAGCAGTACAAATAAATTGCAGTTTAAATTCAATTACAAGCAATTGCTTACAGCAAATACAGTGATATAATGATGTTTTGGCGGATGTAAACAACTGTTAGCTATTTTTAGCATAGTCATTGTGCAGGAAACGGCTATTACTTGAAAACACCACTTTCAACACCTGGAAATGCATTTCAGCAATCTGTGTGTTGGTGGAGAAAAGCCAAAAAGCTGGTATTATCCTTTGGCTCTGATCATCTAACAAGGTTGTTTAAAACCCTGATAAGGACTTGGAGATACTAAACATAGCTTTTTCCCCCCTACAACACAAAAGCCCTTTCCCTCTCTTGTTAGTGCTGACAGGCCAAAGGCAGTGGCGGCACACTGGCTCCAGACGAGGATTACACAGAGGTAATAATTCTCAGAGAAAGCTTGTATGGGTCAGTCCAAAGCAGCTTTTAGCAAGTTAATACAAATTAATCAAAGCAAATATACATTCGAGGGACCAACCATTTGTTTCTCTACCTGTTGTCGGGAGGTTTCTTTTGCATAGTCAGTAGCCACTCCCCTGCTCGATTCATTTTCATTAGAGTTGTAATTGGCCAGGTACTGTTCAAAGTCATATCAATTATGGTTTGTTATTTTAAGGTTATTTTGAAGCAAATATTTTCTTTCCCTTTAAAATAGCTTTATAATTGCAAATTACTGATGACCACCAAGGAGAAAAGTGTGGACGTTTGAAGAAACTTTTGGATTTTCACTTCCAAAGCAAAGGCAATTGCTAAAGTAATGGCTTACGGGCCTATATGTAAACGTCCTGTCACACATCTAAAGGTCTCAACATATAAAACACTTTTCTATGGGTAATTGTATGGAGTAGTCAATCTTTTTTAATCCTGGTTCAGTTTGCTGCTGGTGGGCATGCATTTTTCCATTTTTCCATCACCAAATGAGGAAATTTCACATCAAAGTCTGCTTTTCTCAGTGTAGTGCTTTTCTCAGTGCAGGACTGTTTACATTTTCTGCCTGTTTTAACATTTGATTCTTTACAAATGCTGATGTCGTCCTTGCAGCACAAGCTGCTTCCAATAATTTTGTCTAATAATTTGAATTATTCCTAATAGTTTTGTCACATGGATTGTTGAATGTTTTGATAGGTTGCTCTCAGTGACCAGAGCAGTTAAATTCAAACTGACATATAATATAACTGACTAGTAAGTTATATAATATGAAAATATGTTTATTGTCTCACTGAGTGATTGGACAGAGTTAGGAAAACTTTATGATGGGAAACTTTCTGGCCAAATCAAATGTCTTTAAGGACTTTAAGGACTTTGGCCCCACTCTGGGCACGTGTGTGTGTGTTTGTATCTTTGAGCATTAGTGGTGCTTTCACAGATATGCTAACGTTACAAGTTGAGCACTAATATATCCCCATACCATAGCACACCGTGGCTTTTGAACTTTACACTGGTAACAGTCTGGATAGTCCTTTTCTTTTTTGGCCCAGGCAATATGACATGTTCGCTCTATGCTTCAGTCCATTCCTTGCCCTTTAACCATAGAGATTTCTCAAGATTCCCTGAATTTTTTGATGTTATAATGCACCATATGGCATGAAATACCCAAAACCCTTGCAGTTGTTTGTTGAGGAGCTGTTGGATTATATTGTGAAGTATTTTTTTGGCAAAGTGAAAAGCCATGATTCATCCTTGCTCATAATGGACTATACTTTTCCTGGATGCTCTGTTTATCCTCAGGAATGATTTTCTGTCACAGCAACTTTTTTGGAATGTGCAAAAAACAAAAAGGTTGATGTGATAAAACATTACATATATTGTCTTTGTACTGTTTTCATCTAAATTAAATTCAAAATGGATTTACAAATCATTGCTTTCTGTTTTTTATTTGCATTTCATACACTTTTGGAACTGAGATTTGCATTTCACAACATTTTTAGAATTAAGGTTTGTACAAGCAAAGTGTTACAAGATTGCTTGGTGTCCACCTAAATGCAACATGTTCAATTAACCATTTGCCCTGGGTTTTTCCACTGTGTGTGTTCGCAGCCTGCAGAGCCGGCTTCTACAAGGCCTTTGCGGGGAACATCAAGTGCTCCAAATGCCCCCCACACAGCTTCAGCCACTCTGAGGCGTCCGCCCTGTGCCACTGTGAGAAAGGTTTCTACAGAGCCGCCAAAGACCCGCCCACCACCGCCTGCACACGTCAGTTAGCTTCTTTTTATTTAAAGATGTGTCTAGGCTATGCCATTGCTCTTCCTCTTTATCTCAGCCTAAATGAGCTCTTATTGTTTGTAGTCTGGTCCAACCAATACTTCAGTTGACTGGTAAAATTGGATAATATTTCATCTCACAAATTTATTGAGTGGCTTGTTTTATATTGTAAAGAAGCTCTGATGAGAGGAAAACCATTCAGTTTTGAGGATTTAATGGCATAATACTCATGTAGCCTGGGAGGACTAAGCTGCCACCCATCAGCTTTTTATTTTTCATCACAGCAATACAGGCTGAACTAAATTTGAAAACTTCACTTTGAAAACTAAAAAAATTACACTGTCAGAAAAAAAAGGTGCTATGCAGATACATTTTTCATTCATCAAGGTACAAAACAATAAAAATCTCCCCTCAAAGATTTAGCAATGGTTTAAAGGCCCAACTGTGTACCTTACCTAATTTTTTTCCCAGGTAGAGATATGTATTTGAAAATTTTCATAATCCCTCACATGGCCAAGACCTGCCGGCAGGCCCAAAGTTTTATTACATACTTCTATAACTTAAGAATAGCTCAGACAGTTTGCACTGAAGTCCCTGTAGTAACAGAATAATAAGCCTTAGTATATAATTAATCTGGGATTTTAATAGGTTAACCTAATGTTTCAAAACACAATGAACACACACACACACACTTTCTAAGCCGCTTATTAGGCCACTAGTCCATCACAGCGCAGACAGACAGACATATACATCCACACACACACTCACACCTAGGGGCAATTTAGCATGTCCAATTGACCTGACTGCACATCTTTGGACTGTGGGAGGAAACCCACGCAGACATGAGGAGAACATGCAAACTCCACAGTGTGAGGCGACAGCGCTACCCACCAAAACAGAACAATAAAATAAAAGGCCTGGAGTGAACACAGGGTGTGTAGGATCAATATAAATATAATATAATTTACAATACAAATGTAAAAATATAATTTCAATGGAATATGGTACAGTTCTGTTCCCTAACTTAAGGTACTGAAGACGTACTTTCAAGGGTAGGACAACATTGGACAGGAGGGGGAAAACCTCAGTTAGTTTAATACTTTTGTGTCTGAAAGTGTACCACTGTAAAAAAGATGCAAGGCTTCCTTTATTATTGATTAAATGGCTGACCATTGGACTTTGTTGAGTGTTGACCATATTAACCCCTTACATCGTCATGGCCTGCTGGTGGGGCCCAATATTTTATTGCACACTTCTTTAACTTAAGAATAGCTCAACTTGTTTGCATTGAAGTCCCTATAGTTGCTGAATATAGGGATTCGTTAACACTGGTTAATATTGTTGGTTATCATATTTTTGGCTCTATTATTGGTATCACTCCTATCAATGTCACATTGGTTAGGCGCTGGTTTGTTGTTCTGTTTCTAGTCTTTATGTTCCTTCTGTTTGATTGAATGCTTCTTTTGGTTTAAGGTTATGTCTCTCACTCCTTTTTGCTCAGAATTGTTCAGAAAACCCAAAACAGTTATCGTCTGCAACAGCATGCATTAGCATCAGCGTGGAGAGGAAATAATCATTCCTTTGTTATTCGCAAGCGTACGCAATTATCATTAACTATGATAATTATGTCCAGGACATATTCTCATTATCATTATGAGCTGACTCTGGAAGGCAGGTGATAAACAGACGGAGTTTCTGAGCTGCAGAACCAGCAGAGAAAACTGAACTGCGGTTCACACACACATTCGTATCTCAGTGCAAGTGGTATGTAGGAAAAGAGGGAAGCGATTAGAGAGAGGAATAAAAAGAAAAAGAGAGGAACAGTCTAAGAACATTCTTTAGTTGACATGGACACTATTTATTCCGGACATTTACATATATGGAACTGATGAAAATATGAATAGATCAAGATTTTCTTCTCTGTCCTACTTTCCCACGCTTCCATTTTTTAGACATTAGAACACATTATTTCAGTTTTCCTATTTTATATCCTGCTTTTAAAGATCATTATGCAAGTGCTATAGGATGAAAAGAAGTCCTCATATGGGGCACCAGTTGTATGGCTACTATAATGCAGACGGTTAAAAAAAAAAAACGGGAACCATACCACTTTTAAGGGAAGACTCTTTTATTGCACACATAGTGGAGGAACTCCACCGCCCAGTGCTACTGAATGGCTGTGATAGTAGACAGGTCATCAATAACCACACATCTCAACAGGATGGTGGACATCAACACTGCACAAATTACCCCATAACCCAGCACAGAATAGTCCAGCAAGCACAACTGTTTACATGTTTTAAGTCTCTTACTTTGTGTCCGACACTCTCCCAAGGGGCTCCGTGCTCGTTGCTCTGCACAAGCCAGCAGCAGGACGCTGTAATACTGTAGTATCTATATAAAAAAAATCTATGTCCCATAGTACCTTGATTTACAAAACATGACCAAAAAATAGAAGTGGACGCCCATCAGTTGCTACATAATTCAATCATAGGGATGTAAACAAAGTTAAAATGGTGCATTGTAGAGAAGCTTACCAACACAGATTTCTTTACAGTAGTAATGATAGGAATCAGGGGTCAGGATGTCTACAATGCCAATAGCTTTATTTACTGTCCAAAACAACCAGTGAACCTACACTTGTCTTTTAAGTCTTTTTTTGCTTTACGACACCCTGCATGTACCTTGACACCCATGAATGGCTTGTAAAAAGGCCAAAAGCGTTTACGTTTTAGGCCAAAGGCTTATCTCAAAGCCATCGCAAACAATGTGTCAGGTATTAAGCAATGTCTTCCCAACCATTTCGTGTTAATGTGAGCCAATTTTTAGAGACATTAACCCTAAATCACTTAACTGTTACTGGCACATCTGTTGAAGTGTTCACTTCTGTTTTTTCATCATTTTTGTGCATCAGGTTGTCCAGCAATATAGTAATGCAATAAACCATTATAAAGCATGAAATCTCAGGATTCAGTTCTTGCAAACCATTTTATGATCCGTCATTCACAGCAGTAATGATCGTCTCATTTGCTACATAAGCGCCAAATGAGCAAACGCTAGCAAATATGCGAGTCTTTACCTTCAAAGCCTTGCCGCTACCCACAGAGACATCATGATCCAAAACATGTATGTGTGAACAGTGCTCTTTTTACTTTGGGTATGCTGATTCAGGCAAAAATGGGGTGACAGTTAAAAGGTTAAAGGCTTCAGACCTCTTGTTGATATCACCACCGCTGAGAACAACTCTGCCTCAGTAAGCTTCTTTAGAATGCTGCATTTCACATTTGTCTTCAAAGACCAACCTTTATATTTTTGCCATGTATTTGTGAGTTCATGACACTGAAACAAACTGAGAAAAGTTGGAAGCACAGTTTTAAACTTGCTGATACAAAATCAAATCTAAATGTAATTGATTGTGTAACTTACTGTGTAATTACATTTAAAATAGCATCACAAAATGAGGGTCCTGAACAGCCTCATCTTCTTCTTACAGGACCACCCTCATCTCCTCGTAACCTGGTCTACAACATCAACGAGACGACCCTATTGCTGGAGTGGGATCAACCCGGTGACACAGGAGGGAGGAAGGACCTGACCTATAACGTGGTGTGCCGGCGCTGTGGTGGGCCAGGTCAGCCATGTGATCCCTGCGACAGTGATGTGCGTTTCATCCCCAGACCTGTGGGCCTCACTCGCACCTCAGTGGCTGTGCAGGACTTCATGGCCAATGCTAACTACACTTTCCAGATTGAAGCGCTCAACGGCGTGTCCGGGATGGGCCGGGCAGTACGGCAGGTGGCCAATATCACCATCAGCACAGAGCAGGCGGGTGAGTACTGCGTGCTGGTGTCAGTGGGCTGATTGCTTTTGCTGGTTATGTCCTGCATTATGATGTGCTCAGTGTGTTGGCTCATTGCTTCTAATTGCACTAGTTGGTTGTGTCCAACATTGTAGTACATGGTACACAGAGTACTATAGACTAGCCATGGTTTTTGTGATTTTGAATGTACTTAATTAGGTTGAGTATTACATACCTTATGTTTAAAGGTCTGAAATCAGTTTTTTCAATAGTGCAAAGCAAATTTAGTCACACACTCACTGATCACTTTATAAGGTACCTTGTCCATTTTATCAGGTCCACTTACCATAGAGGTGCACTTTGCTTAGGTTTCAAATTTGTAGGATGCTGTACAGTAATGAAAAAATGTATGAATTAAAGTTAACAGAGCTGCAGACAGTTCCATAGTAAATGAGAAACTGTATAGCATCAAATATTTTGAAATACATGATTTGAAATAAGATAAAAATTACAGTACCTTCTAATGTCCAGCTTTGCAATATTTTATTCTACAATTAAACAATTTTATATGGTAAGTAGTTCCCTATTTTTTAAAAGTGGTGTATCTTATTAGATTAGACTGAATATCAGCCAAGATTGCGTGAACCTTTTTCATTAGTTTTATGTGCGAGCTGATTGTTTGAGATCACTGTTGTTGGTTATGCCTTACAGTACTTACTACATAGTAGCCAAATCTGTGTGACCATATCTGTTGGTTATGTACCAAATTATGTTTATTATTAGTTGTAGGGCTGTAACGAAGCACAAAATTCATCTTTTGATTAACACTGTGAACATCTCCATTTACATTATACATTCGTCAGTACAGCAAAAAAAATAAGTGCCTGAAAATTTGCCTTATGTTGACATGATAATGTTTCCTTGATCGGTTTAATAGAGCAGGGTTTGTCAACCACTGGGCCATGGACTACAAGTGACCTGCAAAGTGGTCCTCGGGCCAATACTGAGGGGTGCCCAATGGTCTGTAGTGGGCCGGTGATGGCACCAAATAATTGACTTAATATTGAAACAGTACATTTTTTCAAAGACTGAACAGTATTAATACAAGCCCTGCAATAACAGTGTGCAAAGGCAGCTTTATCAGTGTTTCATCCCTTGCCTCTTAAAACAAAATATCATCAATTTTTTGCTGTCCACACACATGACCTATGTAACAAATGTGTAATAAACACTCCACTTAATTTGCCACAATTCTTCCTGATATCTGGCATAAAATAAGCTTACATTAGCCTAATATATTGGTATTTTATGTTCTCTGATAGACATCACATATTGTGGGGGTAGGCACCCAAACATACTGGTTTTAAAATTTTACCAAAAATGAACATTTTTAAGCAAAAGGTTCAGTTATGTTGTGCTGTGGGCCTTCTTGCTTTCTAGTGATAAAAAAAGGGCCATGAGGTGGAAAAGATTGTGAAAAAAGCTAAGAACCCCCGTTTTAATGCTAATATGTTAAGCTTCTATGGTACCCTGAAAGTAATCTCTGCTTACAAGGAAGGTACCTTCCTTCAGTGATCTTGATTTTGGGGTAAAGTGGGAGCTAAATTGTCAGAAGAGGGAGGTTCTGCTCTCATTGTTGTCTATTATACTTCAAAATTGTTTAATCTTTATTATACTTCATGCAATATAATCTGTATTAAACTCAGCACTTTATTTGCACCAATCTGTTGAATGTATTGTTTGATGTCTGTGTTATACTGAATTGGGAGGCTTGAGCTGAACTGTACAATACAATACACATTAGCTAAGGTTCTTTTGTCACATTTGTTGCATGAGGTGCTTATTTATACCGAGTACTAAACACCAGTTTTTGTGGCCCTATTGGTTTGTTATGTAGCAAAAGAGTTTCTGACTGTGCTTGATGGTTATTACATAAATAATCTAATAAGTACATAATTATATAATAAGTATAGAACCTATTTGGGAGGATTTTCTTAGAATCATCTTAAGACAGTTGTGTTCCACATCGTATTAAATTGGCATCTTAGACTAACAACACTGATCTGGAATCAGTGCATGCATATTCATACAGTCAAACTCATTAAGGCTGTAAAGGACCAAAACTGGTGCTAATAAAGAACCCTCTGACCTAAAACTCTGACAGGTACAACTCCAGAACAAGTTGTCCTATATCAAAATAATGCTCTCTGACTGTCTCAGCAAATGCTTTTGCCACTTGGCATCAGGCCCTTGAGTTTGAGAGCCAATATTGTACATTGGTACACAATTGTTCTTATGAGAGATTTCTCTGTTTCACTGTGGGCCTCGCTGCGATCCTTAGGGAAATATGATAGCACAACAGTCCACTCCAGTTCTATTCTCAGTGTGCTGAGCAAACCCATTTCGAAGACAAGGGTCTTTCTTTCAGCATGTCATTGGAAGAGCTACTGCTTCTCCTCGCCCGGACTCAGTTTTACACTAATAAAGATATACTACTGTACCTCAGGACGACATGTTCTTTTTTTCACACCTGCTCCTGGCGATGTCAGCAGATACGGTCAATGCAAGACTCCTGCCTCGGTTTATTAGTCTGTCCTGTAGGCTCTGCTGCCCAGCTCTTGACCTCCAACCTTCTTGTAAGACTTTTCATCCTTCTCCTATTTTATGTCCATTGGCTGGCCTCTTCCAAATGAGTTGCTACATTTGGTTCAGATTGGTTTGCTCTTCAGACCCCATTGGCTGTTCTGACAACATAATTTTTAGGTTGCTAGGGTATTTTTTTGCGCACAGATTAACCCTTAGAAGTCGAAAGTTATTATTGTCATTTTGCTGTACTATTTCAATGTAAAGACAAAATTGCATTATTTAATTAGGTGTTGTATAATCAGTTACATTTACATCCAATTTATGTTCTGTAGGTCTGAGCTTATGACTTTTCTATCAGTTTCTATGTCAACAAATGACACAAATGTGTAAAATGTAAAGGAAAGATTTTTTAGCAAATTCAAATCGTACATATCTTCTGTGTTCAAATACAGGTGTGCTATTGTCTGAAAATGTACAATCCACAGAATTTACCTAATATAATTATACATTTTATGGTCAACCATGACTGTCAGAGATAGAGCTTTAATTTGGTCAACATCTAAACCTCAACCATAATGCTAATTTCTGCTAGCACCCATATGAGGTTTCTGGTAATTTATAAACATGGACATTTGAAGATCATAAAACACATTCCAAATGTTGCAGCTTTGCAGTGAGTCTTTCAGTACCGAGCCCTGACACAGAGCTGCTGTTTTCCATGTTGAGCAACTAAATGAAACTTGGTCAGACAATGGCTCGTCCTAGCAGTCAGTGACAAATTTAATATGTCCAGCAGGCCTAGAGCAGTGGTCACCAGACTTGTTCTAGGAGATCTACTTTCTTGCAGAGTTTAGTTCCAACCTTCGTCTAATATGTTTCCCTCCCCAACTACTCCCCAGCAAATGCATCTGATCCACTCAAAGATATCTGAAGATGTAATTAGCTGAAGCAGGTATGAACAACTGTGATTGGAATTAGATAGATCTCCACTAGGGCTGGTTATCTCTGGCCCAGAGTGATCTCACAAAATCAGTCCCAGTTGATTCCTCTGTCAATTCCTGTTTATGTTGGTAGTTAATCTAATGCATAAGGCCTTCAGTTTAGCTCCTTAAGGCCTAACCAAAGGGAGAGCTCACTTAACTGTATCTACCTAGATACCACAGAGAAAAAGAACTCTGACTGGACATTTTTCGGAGGGCACGTAAAAATTGTTTATATTCCTTATATTCCAACCAAAACTATAATATGTGGAGAGTTCAAATACAACAAACACGACGATTCTGAAATAAAAATGAACTAAACGTTACAGGCATTTTTAAGTTCTCTGAAATTATTAGGCTTTTTGTCCCCAGTGAGTACTATAGTGACAATGCAGTGGCATTTTCTAAAAGAAAGCTGAAGCGTTCAAAAATGGTTCCAAAATGGTTTGGGTTTACTTTCCTAGGCAAAAATCTATAAAGCCTTTACATTATGAGGAGCTTCTTTAAACATAAAAAGGTCCTTCACACTCACACATAATTTACAACAATGGCCCTTTCCACTGAAAAGGTCTTATAGAACGCTTTTTGGCACCTTTATATTCAACAGTGCATGACTGTTTTTAAAGGAAGCTACAGGAGAAGCCAAAGTCAGAAGGAGTGAGTTCACCACTCCAGCTTTCATTCATTGTTTGCAACGTTAGCACTTTCGGATGAAGTATTCTGTTAATTATCAGTGTGATGTATGAGATGTCAGACGTGGCGATGAGGCCAGGTTGTGTTCAACACTGCTGGTGTGGTTATTCGGCTCTTGCCGGTGACAGAGACGCTCATCAGTATTGATGGCAGTCACGATGGTGGTGTGATTGCTGAGATGCGTGTGTGCTTGGTGAGCTCTAATCACGGCCGAGAGAGAGTAGCACAGTAACACAGCCCTCAACCAACCCCACAATCTACCACCTGCTGACACCTCCACCGTCATTACAGGCACACAGAGTGCAAGAGAGAGAGAGAGAGAGAGAGAGAGAGGAGAGAGAGAGAGAGAACAAGGGGGGATTTCCAGGTGTAAATCTCTAGCCTGAGAAGGTGAAACCTGCATCCATATTTAGCATCCATATTAATCCTTACAAGTCTAGAGCTATTACTGTCGTTTTGCTTTACTACAAATACAAGTACAAAAAGTGTTCTTTGAAGTGATGCCAGAAGAACAACTTCTGCTTCTCTAAAGAACCATTCAGTGGAAAGATCTTTAAAGAACTGTTTTTGTAAATGTTTTTGTCAAGAACTTTCCACATAATTCCACATAATTTAAGCATCCTAAGGTTCTTCAAATTTTCATTCTGTGGACTCAGATGAACACATGTAAACCTAATGGGGACCCAGGCATAAAATGATTACAATACTGGGTTTAGGGAATAGCCTATAGCATGATTGGAGTATAGCTCTGTTCTACCTGTCATTCCTGTT